CTCCCTCTCCCACTCCCCCTGCTTGTGTTCCCTCTCTCGCTGTGTCTCTGTCTGTCAAATAAATAAATAAAATCTTTAAAAAAAAAAACAAAAACATTCTATCCTTTAATGTGAGCAATGCTTTTATCAATGATAAAGTAAATAAAACAAACTTCATTGTGAAGGGGGGTTACAGTCATAACTGGCAAAGAGGAGAGTGTTTTACTGCCACTCCACACCAGCAGTATTTTTGTGTTAGAACCCTGTCTTTGGCAATAAAAGTTCCCACCTGCCTCCCAGCCATTACAGGGAACACATGAAGGGAACCCCCACATCACCAGTCAGTCGTTAGGCTCTTCAATCTAAGCAGTGAGAGCCACGATGGCACAACCATCAATAAGGAAGCAGAGGTTACAGCATATTCAAATGATGACCATTTTCAATTTTTAATATGGGTTTTCCTTCTTTGAATTTCCTCAATTTGCAATAATCCTAATGCTTAAAGCAGGACTAAGCCAGAGGGCCTTCCAGGGACAGGAAGCTACGAGACTCCTGTTTCTCCCACACAAGAGTTAAAATTCATCACTAGAAGAGGAACATGCTTCCAGGAAAATAAAATCAAACCCTAGTTTCGATGGTGCTTGTTACAAGTTCACCTGTTTTGCCTAACTCACACTAATGAACAGGTGGATAGAAATGAAGCCAAGTGCATCAAAGGAGACAGACGAAATCTGAAAGCACAATACACCTGCAAGTTTCATCATGCAGAGCGGACGCCCAGCCTCTGCCGTTCAGGTCTGACGAGCTCATGGTGAAACCCGCTCCCTGCTTGGGAGAGCCCAACACCCCACACCACTTCCTCCTGCCCAGGCAGCATCAGCAGTAATTAGACCAAATCACTGCTTTGAAAAGGAAAAGAGAAAAGGAAACAGGACATGTGACTCCAGAAAGACCCTAGGTTTTCCAGAGGAAACACAGGGGCTTCAGAAGGCTCCGGAAGGGGTGTGCTGGGCCCTGCAGACTGCCACTTCCCAGCAGTTTCATTTACTCACTTCCCTAGGATTTGGGTTGCCCTGTCAGGCAGTTGTCCACCCCACTGAGGATGCACCTCTCCAGACAGCTCTGAGATATGGATGCCATGCTGCTCCAGTGCCCACCTGGGGGAAGGGGCAAAAACTTTTGGGAAAATCCCTCTATTCCTCAGGAGAAAGAGAAAACGAGAACTTCTCCTAAGCGTGGAGCCTGGAGATGTCCACATCCACAGCACTACCCCACTCCTGGCTGGCTCTCTGCACTGAGAGGGATGCTGACCCGCTCCCGTAGCTGGCAGGACAACACTCGGCAGCCTTTCCCACCCAGCACTGGGTTTTGCCATTAAAGGCGTGTGTCTCCCACTTAGGAAGAAGCAGCAGAAAACATGGGAACAATGTAGAGACAAGCAACAAGATGATCAAAAATGTTTTAAAAAATAAATAAAAGGACCTAGGGCAAAGCAACTGCAGAAGTGGACAAAAAGGGGTCCCTATGTCCTTCTCAAGCCTTCAGGAAGAGCCCCAAGGACCTGAGCCCAGGGACAAGGGAGCCATCAGGAACTCTCGCAGGTGGCTTGAGTGCACAGGCCCACCGCTGTCTCTTCCAGGAAACCTGCCTCCTTACCACCAGCCCAGGCGGGGGCCACACAGGCCTCACCTGCCCGCAGGTCCCTAGGGCGGTCACAGCAGGCTCCAGCCCTACAGCCTTGACACCCTGCTGGCCCAGCTGCCCCTATGTGTATGAACACAGCTGTGGCTCTTGGAGGGGTGGCTTCTGGGCAAAGGCTACAGGAGACCCCAAGAGCCCGTGCCAGATACAAATTCCTGACTGGGCAAAGGTCTAAAATAGGGCCATAACCACAAAGCAAGTTAGGTCAAATGTGCCTGATCATCCCTCGCCCACATTCAGATAGGTCTAGCATTTTGCCCTGCAGGTCACAGTAGACTGACGGACTCGTTATATTTTGTCAGACCTTCCAATTGTTTCTCTACGACCTAAGACTTCTCAGTGCAACTCATGCCAAAAAATTAAGAATCCCCTTGCACCCAAACCGTCAAATAAAGCATCTCTGCCCCATTCACCCATCCTTTACCAGAATTACCTAAAACATAAATGCACCTCCCCAAAATTCAGGCAGTGACAGCTTGGTGGGCACACGTCTGTGTCCCGCACCTCCCCCTCCCATCCACGTCCACACTAGGTACCCTTCCAGGCCAGCCTCACCCTGCACTGACTCCCTTCATAGCAATTACACTGAAAATCCCAATAAAACCCTCTTTAAGCACCATCTCCACACACAGCTGGAATGAGAGCCACCTGAAGGCCCAGGCTGTGCATCTTCACAAGCTGATACCCATGTTTCATCAATGTGACAGGTATGTGGCCATGAGAAAAATTAAGACTTCAAAAACATAGAAAATATTTAAATTGTTAAATTAAAAAAACTACTGGGGCGCCTGGGTGGCTCAGTCATTACGTGTCTGCCTCTGGCTCAGGTCATGATCCCGGGGTCCTGGAATCAAGCCCCGCATTGGGCTCTCTGCTCAGCGGGAAGCCTGCTTCTCCCTCTCCCACTCCCCCTGTTTGTGTCCCCTCTCTCGCTATGTCTCTCTCTGTCAAATAAATAAATAAAATCTTTTAAAAAAATACAATAAAAAATAAGAAATAAATTTTAAAAAAAACTATTGTTACGTACCCAAGGGAACTAAAATATATGCTCAAACAAAAACTTACACACAGAAGTTCAGGTTAACACTATTCATAATAGCTAAGAATACCCATACAGTGGAATATTATTTGGCTATAAAAAAGAATGAATTACTGACCTACACTACAACATGGATGAACCTTGAAAACATGATGCTAAATGAAAGAAGCCATTGACAAAGGTCACATGTTGTACAATTCCATTTATATAAAATGTTCAGAATGAGCAAATCCACAGACAGAAACTAAATTAATGGTTGCAGAGGGGAGTGACTGCTAACAGGTGTGGGGTTTCCTTTATCAGTGATGAGAATATTCTGAAATTAGATAGTGGTGATGGGTATGTGACCTTGTGCATATGCAAAATAATCACTGAATTATACACTTTAAAAAAGCAGAGTCCTGGGACGCCTGGGTGGCTCAGTTTTTAAGTGTCTGCCTTCGCTCAGGTCATGATCCCAAGGTCCTGGGATGGAGCCCCGTATCAGGTTCCCTGCTCAGCAGGGAGCCTGCTTCTCCCTCTCCCGCTCCCCCTGCTTGTGTTCCCTCTCTCACTGTCTCTCTCTGTCAAATAAATAAATCTTTAAAAAAAAAGAAAGCAGATTACTTATGGTATGTGAATTATTTCTCAATTTTTTTTTAAGATTTATTTGAGAGAGAGAGCGTGCACACACCCACGCGCGCGCGCACACACACACATGCCTGAGCAGGGAGAGGGACCGAGAGAGAGGGAGAAGGAGAGAAGCAGGCTCCCTGCTGAGCGCAGGCCCCAAAGCGGGTTTGATCCCACAACCCAGGAGATCATGACCTAAGCCAAAATCAAGAGCTGGACACTCAACTAAGGCACCCTGGTGCCCCTCTCTCAATATTTTTCAAGAACTAGTACACAACATATCACATTCATTTACAGAATGGAAGAAAGCAGGAAAAAAAACAGCACCTCAACAGACCACAGGAATTCAGAAAATGTTCTATTTTTCCAGGTTTCTTTATAAAATGTCTTGAGATATCCTCATTTGAAAGGCTGTCCTTCCTAAAGACAAGAGCAACACAAATGGAAAGAAACAGATGCCGAAAACATTCCTGAGAGAGGCCAGGCGGTCTGTGCCTTAAGTGCCCAGGACAGGCTGTACAGTGAGAAAGGGCTTTCCCCAGGGCCCTGAGGCAGCCCTGGCTGTCATCTCCTCTCCTCCCACATCCTGTGACCACTGCCCTGGGTGATAACACCATCAGCCCCACTTTTCACTGGCCCTCACGACTTCCTACACCTCATCCCACCTGTCAACAGCCAGCACATGGGACAACACCCAAGAAAATGATGTCACACTGAGTCATGAGTCCAAATGCCTCCATTTAAACGCAGTCCAAAATGCCCTGCTCTCCAGAAAGTGGGCCATGGGCCTCTACAGCTTCAGAAACAAGGCCAAGAACCAAGTCTCACCTGCTGCAATTAAAGAGCAGAGAGGAGGTACCATGCCCACAACACCCAAGGACCATGAGGGCCTCAGCAGCCTCCCCTCTTCTGGGAACTGTCCTCCTCATTAGGACTAGAAAAGGCAACACAGGGGCACCTGGGTGGCTCGGTCGGTTAAGCGTCTGCCTTCAGCTCAGGTGATGATCTCAGGGTCCTGGGATCGAGCCCCACATCGGGCTCCCTGCTCAGTGGGGAGCCTGCTTCTCCCTCTGCCTCTGCTGCTCCCGCTGCTTGTGTTCTCTCATTCTCGCTCTCTCTCTCAAATAAATAAAATCTTAAAAAAAAAAAATCTTTAAAAAAAAAGAAAAGGCAACACAATAGACAGACGAAGCAGGAAGTGGAAAGGGTTGGAGGTAGGGCACCAACCAGTGCACTCTGGGCAGGTGCCTTTGTGTGTTTAACTAACTGTTAATGTTGTTACTAACACCCTAACCCGAGTAGCTGAACAAAATCAAATTTCAAATCACCTGCTTTATTTCATCAGAGTTTGTTCCGATAATTATACTCTGTAACACAATTACGCAGCAGGAAACCCAAAGAGGACATGCCCTGCCCGCCTGCCCGGCTGCCCGCCGGCCCATCCCAGCTCTGTGGACACCGCTGCCCCCTGGTGGCGACACACCAGGCTGGCTCAGGCCATCTCCTTCACTGGAGTAGAAAGCCCAATACTGACAATCCAAGGACAACCCTGGGTTTTAAGGTGCAGTACTGTGCTACTGGGGTTAATGGTCTCTTACTATGTTCCAGCTACTTCAGAATGGACTCAAAGGTGAAGAGAACTTGTCCCCTCCCCCGGAGCAGTGTTTACCAGGGCCTGCAGCATGCCATCCATGGCAATGACCCCCTCGATGGTCTGGAAGGAGGAGCGGGCCAAGGTGTGCAGGCTCCAGTCCAGGAAACCTGCCATCTTCTTCTGCTTGACATCAGGCCGTGTGACAAACCTGCCAAAAGGAAACAAACAGGCAGGTTGATAGCTCAAACAAGGCTCCAACTGAAGAGAGCTCACCCCTTTCTGGCCCACCACATCCTCCCATCAAGAGGAGCCTCCATGCCAGGACCATCTGTCCTCAGACTGTGAATGTCCTACATTGTGAATTATGTCCCCCTTTCAAGACGGACTCTCCAATCTAAAACACCAAGACACTACCCAGACCATCAGGTGGTCATTCCCCAGCATGACCTCTTTGAGGTCATACACAGGCCCCACCACCCTCGTCTCCTCCCTCCTGGGCTCCCACTCATCCTGAGGCCCCCTACACTGCAGGACCACCTTTACCCGTTCCCACCACTGCCCAGGAACCCCACCAACACCTACTACTCAGCCCTTCCCTTTCCTTGGCCCAAATCCATCTCTGCCTCAGGACACTGTACCGCCTCATATGGCAAGGCCTGGCCCAGCAGCAGGCCCCAGGACCTCTCTCTCTGCATCTGCCATGGGTCTTCCTTCCCCCCACTCCCTCCACCCAGTGCTGCACAGCCCCATGCAGAGCCCACATATGCTCAGCTCTGCACTCTCTGGAAGCTCGGATGGCACATACTGGATCCTGCCCACTCTCTTACATGCTGGTCTAAGCTGGCAGCCACCCCCGAGCCCCCACACCAAAGCTGGGGCCCCCTTTATTCCTCTCTAGCCAGTCTACATGCTATTTGACTCGGGGGCTCAGGTTGGGCCCATCCTCTTGTAGGAAAGCTTCCACTCTGGAGGCAGAAACACAGGAAACAAGCAAAGAACATGAAGAGACAGAGGGTGGAAAATGTGCAGCCTCCAAAAGAGGCCCAGGGACACCCTCCCAAGGAGACATGGGACCAGACAGTGTCAGGAAACAGGACCTCACACTCCCTTCAGCTGCCCCCCAGAGAACACACATGGTGGCACTCTGCACTTAATGCTGCAGAAACCCGTTTTACGACAGGCTGGCCCACTTCGTGTTTGCATCACGTACGAAGCAGCACCCAGTGTGGTTCCGGCACCTGCCTCGGCAACCCTGCGGGAAGCTCTCATCCCAGCCACAAGCCCTCCCACCTCAGAGCCCTCTCTTCCCTCGGAACAGCCTCTGCCCAGTGTATCAGAAGATGCTCGGCCAGTGCAGTTAAAGTTACACCCATTCTGGAACATTCTGAGAACCTGGCTACACAGCATCGGGATGCATCTACAGCCGCCTGGCATATTGGCTAGGGCATTTTTAATGCGCTGAAAACCAGCCTCAACCATGCGAAATGCTTACTCGTCCTGACCACTAGATGGTGCAGGAGAGTCCCGCCAAGTGGTTGGATCTGTTCCCAGGAGGACATTAGGTATGGAACAAAGGTTTAGGGCTTCACCTCCCCAGCCCCCAAAGATGTGGTGCTCCACAAAGTCAAACTCAGCATAACTCTACCAAACCCTCAGTATTGCTGGTAATAAAAAATAATAAAAACAATTTTTCACCTAATAAATTTGGCAAACGCGTTAAGATCTCACATAGTACTGGTAAATAAGGGAAAAAGGTAACCTTTCCAGTAATTGCATTTAAAACCCCTAAAATGGGGCGCCTGGGTGGCTCAGTTGGTTAAGCGACTGCCTTCGGCTCTGTTCATGATCCTGGAGTCCCTGGATCGAGTCCCACATCGGGCTCCCTGCTCAGCGAGGAGTCTGCTTCTCCCTCTGACCCTCCTCCCTCTCATGTGCTCTCTCTCTCTCTCTCTCTCTCTCCTTCTCTCTGTCTCAAATAAATAAATAAAATAAAATAAAATAAAACCCCTAAAATGTCCATTCCACTTCCAGGAATTCATCTCTAAGAATCAATCAGAATGGTACAAAGTTTTATGTAAAACGTTCATGATGACACTGACTTTACTAACAAGTAGCAGGCAGCAGTCTACATGTCCAAAAGGGGACTGGAGAAACAATAATATATTCACACCATAACAGTGTTTTAGAAAAAGACTGAATAAAGCTCCAGGCCCATGTGCTGGTACCTGGTACGACAAGCATGTGCACCAACATACCCCCACAGACAGAGCGGTGGCACCCACGGACAGCATCAGTACGAAAAGCAGGAGCAGTTACATCTCTGGGGGATGAAGGTACACGTGGATTTTGTACTTTATACGTTTCTTTATTTTCCAAAACACAAGATTACTCTTAGAATTAAAAAGAAACTCATTTTTTTATTTTTCTTTTATTTTTTAAAAATGTTATTTATTAGAGAGCTCGCACAGAAGCAGGGGAAGGGGCAGGCAGAGGGAGAAGCAGACTCCCTGGGAGTCTGGGAGCAGGGAGCCCAATGCAGGGCTCGATCCCAGGACCCCAGGATCATGACCTGAGCTGAAGGCAGATGCTCAACCAACCAAGCCATCCAGGGATCCCAGAAACTCATTTTTTTAACCACAAGAAACCTCTGTCCAGTGAGTATCTCTGTCCCCCAGGTGAAGCAATGCAGGTGGGTTCACATGTTCCCCTCGCTCCTGAAATCAGCTCTTCTATCCAAGCTCTACCCTATGGTGCAGCAAGTGCCCCCACTGCCCTACAAATTAAGGGTTTCTCTTACCACTTTGTGGAAGGTCATATGGCTATACACCGAAGTATAAGGGGACCCTGAATGAAGTGTTGCCCATTTTCCCAATCAAAATATCCAAAAGTTTTTACAGCCCATTTTCAACTTTCACAAATGTAGAGTGGGGGAAAGCCAAATATTCTATCTACTCAATACACTTATTTTAAGTCACATTCCTACAAAAGATTAATGTAGAAAAACTGCTTCCTTCCATTCTCGCATTTCATGAAACAAGTTTACACAGCTCTCACACACGTCTTTGGCATTTTTCAGAGACAACAGGGCCACTGTTTGGGTCAGCTCACCAAGCTCATCAGACTAAGAAAGCCACGTTCACATGTTTGAGGCAAAGCCTGTTTTTTTCAGTCAACAGAGAATGTTTGGGGATTTTTATCGCAAGCCACAATGACCCAATCAAGCTCATGATCTCCATAAACCACAGCATTAACCGCTTTCAAAATGACCTTTAAAGACTCATCCAACTGCCACCACCCCAAAGGTGAGCTTCTGCCCCAGGTATAACTATTACACCTGTTCTAAATCTGCACTCTGTTGATGGGCCCATCAGGTGACCTCCATGAGCCCCTAGCCCAGCATTCTCAGGTTCAAAGGTCTCCAGCCAAACAGAGCTAATGCTCCCTCCAAGAAAGAGACACATACTGGGCAGTAGGAAAGACTTTCCCAGGCCCATCAGCCTGGTGTCCTCCTCCAAGGTAACACAGAAACACAGGGAACACAGAAGAGTATGTAAGACAAACCCTCTCGGAACACACCAGTCGCATATCAACCAACACAGCTGTGAGAGGGCCAACGCAAGGTACTTACTTGGACACAAGGACAGCAGCTGCATCTCGGGCCTTGTCACTGACAACCAAGTAGGCCTAGAAGAAAGGATCAAGGACAGGCACCGTTACACACACCATATAAATCTCTGGGACCCACTCACCAGCCAGTCCCACACGCAGCAGCTCCCGGAGAAGACAGGTCATGAAGCTTCTAGGCAGAGGCCCAATTCCAAAGCTGCACAAACCACCCCTAGACTCCTTGCCAGCAAGGGCCAAATGCTGTGCTCACCACCCAGCAGGTGCCGAGTTGCACATGGCATGTGGCCATACCCCTTGAAATACACGTGTAAAAAACAGAAAAATGAAACACATATGTGTCACCCAGCTGAAACAAAGAATCACAGGGGTACCTGGGTGGTTCAGTCCCTTGAGTGTCTGACTCAGCAGGGAGTCTGCTTGAGATTCTCCTTCTCCCTCTGCCCCTACTCCTGCTCATCCTCCCCTCTCTCTTTCTCTCACTCTCCCTCTAAAATAAATAAATATTAAAAAAAAAAATCATAGTGTCCACAAAGCACACTTGGGACCTGTCAACATGTTAGTATACAGAACAGTTAGGAGGCCCCACTCAAACAGAAGAGGACCCACGGTTAAAACAAATGACTAGCTTCTCTTTGGAGGCTTGCCTTAAGAAGTTCCCAATTCCCATCTCAACTAACGTTTTTCCAAATGATATATACACAAAAGATCTTTTCTCTGGGGGACAATTAGTGCCAAACCCTTAGAAATGTACAGCCACTCACCTGACAGTCCCATTTACAAGACAAATACACAAAGGGTATGTAAAGGTGGTTCATCACCATACTACTTCTCACAGAACACAATCAGAAACAAACCAAACATCCATCTATAAGAGAATTTTTTTAAGATTTATTTATTTATTTGAGAGAGAGAGAGCATGTGCATACCCGTGCATGGGGGGGGCAGGGGCAGAGGGAGAGAGAGAATCTCAAGAGGACTCCACACTGAGCAGAGTGTGACATGGGGCTCGATCCCACGACCCTGAGATCATGACCTGAGCTGAAAGACCAAAAGTCAGACGCTCACCGACTGCGCCACCCAGGCGCCCCAAGAGAATATTTTTAAAATTAGGATTCAGTGGAGCACCTTTTCCTTTCAAGATTATGAGAGGACATGTACTTACTGACATAAGACATTCAACATATACCGCCAGGGAAAAAGCAGCTCACAGAACAGCAGGACACCAAAGGTGCTTGCACAAAGTGGGCAGCATGGAGTGTGGTGACGAGCCACAAGCCAAACTGCCTAGCTTCAAATTTGGATCTACCATTTATGATAAAGTGAACCAGCTATGTTACTTTTTCTTTTTGACTATTGCCCCCTCAGTAAAATGAGGATAAAGAGTTAACTGTCGGGGCGCCTAGGTGGCTCAGTTGGTTAAGCGACTGCCTTCGGCTTGGGTCATGATCCTGGAGTCCCGGGATCGAGCCCCGTATCGGGCTCCCTGCTCAGTGGGGAGTCTGCTTCTCCCTCTCACCCTCTTCCCTCTCGTGCTCTCTGTCTCTCATTCTCTCTCTCTCAAATAAACAAATAAAATCTTAAAAAAAATCATTAAAAAAAAAAAGAGTTAACTGTCAGGGCACCTAGCTGGCTCAGTTGGTGGAACGTGGTGGGGTTGTGGGTTCGAGCCCCACACCGACTATTGAGATTTAAAAAAAAAATTAAATTATATTTTTAAAAAAATCTTTAAGGGCCACCTAGGTGGCTCCATCACTTGAGAATCCAACTCTTGATTTCGGCTCAGGTCATGCTCTCAGGGTCGTGGCACTGGGCCTGGAGCCTGCTTGAGATTCTCTCTCCTTTGTCACCCACTGCCACACCCATGTGCACTCTAATAAATAAATCTTTAAAAAAAATTTTTTTTTTGGGCGCCTGGGTGGCTCAGATGGTTAAGCATCTGCCTTTGGCTCAGGTCATGATCCCAGGGTCCTGGGATCGAGTCCCGCATCGGGCTCCCTGCTCCTTGGGAGCCTGCTTCTCCCTCTGCCTCTCTCTCTCTCTCTGTGTCTCTCATGAATAAATAAATAAAATCTTTAAAAAAAAAAAAAAAAAAAAAATTTTTTTTTTTTAACTGGACGCCTGGGTGGCTCAGTTAGTTAAGCATCTGTCTTCGGCTCAGGTCACGATCCCAGGGTCCTGGGCTGCCCACATCAGGCTCCCTGCTCAGGGGAGAGTCTGCTTCTCCCTCTGCCCACTCCCCCACCTCGGCTCATGTATGCTCTCTCTCAGTCTCTCTGTCTGAAATAAATAAAATCCTTAAAAATAATTGTTTTTTAAAAGAGTAAGCTGCCTTATTAAGACATAAACCTTAGTAGGGTTATGTGAGTCACCGTACAAAAGATGATTAGAATAGTATCTGGCACACAGCAGGTACTCAATGAATGCCCAGCCGCTGGTGTTCACATCCTGTGTAATCCCTCCTGTCTGGGTCGGACACAGTGACAGGCTTCTAACCAAGCGAATTTGGCAAGGGGTGGGAAGCCACTTCTGTGATTTGGTGACACATTATCATGTCTTCTGTCTCGCTAGCAGACCCTGCCCCTTGCCGGCTTCGAGAGAATATGCTGCCATGTAGAGGGGGCCACATGGCAAGGAACATCCAGCAAAGAACTAAAGCCCTTGGTCCAACACCCTCAAGGGTCTGGCTTCTGCCAACTGCCATGACAACATAGAGGCAGACCCTGCTCAAGGCGAGCCTTGACTACAGCCAAGGAGACTGTGATGCAGATTGCCCTGCAAAGTCACACCCAGATTCCTGACCCACAGAAACTGTGAGATGATAAATGTGTGTTGTGTTAAACCACTCAAGTTTGGGATAATACAAATATTATGCATATAGACAAATTACTGCATCACAAAAAGTTTGAAAAAATATACAATTGTTATTATTTCTTGGCACTAGAATTTGAGGGACTTCAATTTAATATCTTTCTTGCTTTGCTTCACGTTCTAATTTTTCTACACTGATCGTGTATTATTTATATAACATTAAAAATCAAATTTAAAATGGACCTTTATTTTCTCTTACAACTGCCCCCTGAAATCTCTTATATGTCATCATTATGCTTAACAGAGTATTTGCACTACCTACAAAGAAATGAAATTGCTAAGTAATTCATCCTTTCCCCTATATGAATTATCATATTTTCAAAATAGGTCATGAAATGGAATTTTACCTCACTGAAAAACAGTAACAGCAGTTGAAGAAACATAAATGTCAAAAGCGTTCCTAATTAAACTCTAATATAAGACAGCATGAGAATGAAAACAACACTAATTAGCAGCTACTGATTTGCATGATCACATTTACCTCTGCTATTTGGAGAATACGGTCCATTACGGACATTCGCATTTGCCCAGGTTGAGTGAGGAGGTTCCCGTCAAGGCGTGAAAAATCAAAAGGGATCAGGCAGGTCACAGAGAGCCACAGTAAAAGCATGTAGCGGGTCTCCCAAGTCTAAGAAGTTAAATCAAAGGAAAATGACTCCAGTATAAAGGACAGAGGTAACCCACACGCCCCACTCACAGCCCTCCCTGCCCTCCCTGCCCACTCAATGCCCACCACAGGCCCTTCAGATGCTATCCACCTCAGAGCCCGGAGTGCAGACCATCGAGAGTCCCTCCCGTATCTCTACTGTACCCCACCACACACACCCTGTCATTCAGACAGCTGGGAACCTGGTCAGATGAAAGAAACAGCAGAACAAACAGAGAAAAATCACAATAGATCAGTAATGGCTTCTCTTCACTGGCACCCTTCAGCATACAATCAGCATTTTGAGAAAGTGAAAAACAGATAAAAAGATGGAAAACAGGGGCGCCTGGGTGGTTCAGCCATTAAGCATCTGCCTTCGACTCAGGTCATGATCCCAGGGTCCTGGGATTGAGTCCCACATCGGGCTCCCTGCTCAGCGGGAAGCCTGCTTCTCCCTCTCCCACTCCCCCTGCTTGTGTTCCCTCTCTCGCTGTGTCTCTCTGTCAAATAAATAAATAAAATCTTAAAAAAAAAAAAAAAAGGAAAACAGAAGACTTAAGAATAAAGAAAAATACTCTCAACGTCCAAAGAGGAGTGCCTTATTTCAGGTAGTCAACAAAACAAGACTCCACTTTGGCCCTGGAATTACCCATCGGGGGCACAAGAAGCAGAGGAGAGCTAGGGAAATGATAATCCACATCTTCAACTGAAATTGGGCACATTCACAGAGACAACTCACTGGTGGAGCAGTTATGAACAGTGTGCTCCTCACACTGTGCAAAAGAGTGCTCCCGAAGCAGCCTGACTCCTGGGAAAGGCCTGCTAACAAGGCTAGTCACCAGGGGGCATCCGGGAACTTGGATTTCAGAAGGCTTCCCACCGTTCCCTGAGAAGGGGCACTCTCTGTGCCTGGACTATTAGTACAAACCACATCACTTATGTCAAAACCTGCTTTCCTTCTGGGAGTCTGGAATTTCAGTCTATATTTGGCAGAGTACCCACATGACCAGCCCCCAAGAAAAATCCTGCACACCGGTCTCTATGACTTTCCCTGGTGGACAACACTTCATATGTGTCATCACAACTCAGTGCTAGGGAGACTTACAAGTGCCCTATGTGACCTAACTGGGAGAAGACTCTGGAAGCTTGCTTCTGGTTTCCTCCAAACTGTACCTCATATGCCTTTTCCCTTTGCTGATTTTGCTACTAATGAATCACAACCATAAGAACTACATGCAGTCCTACAGTGATCCTAGAGAATCATCAAACCTGGGGGTGGTCCTGGAGACCCCCAAAATAGTTATATTTCAATTTTTTAAAAATCTGGAAGGTTGACATAGTTATCACCACACCATATGTAGGCATATTTTTTCTTTATAAAGAGCTTATTTTAAAAGGAAATAATTTAAGGTAACATAATAACAGAAAAAGCCAAAAGAATAAAAGAGGGGCGCCCAGGTGGCTCAGCCGTTAAGCGTCTGCCTTCGGCTCAGGTCATGGTCCCAGGGTCCTGGGATCGAGCCCCGCATTGGGCTCCCTGCTCAGCGGGAAGCCTGCTTCTCCCTCTCCCTCTACCTGCTTGTGTTCCTCTCCCCCTGTGTCTCTCTCTGTCAAATAAATAAAATCTTTAAAAAAAAGATTTGTTTAAAAAAAAAAAGAATAAAAAAGAGAGAGAGGGACACAAAACAGCCTAAGATAAAACTGAAGGAAACAGGAAGATGAAGCCGCCAGTCAGGAGTAGAGCAAACCAAGGAAGAAGGAGGGACGAGGTTGGGAATGAAAAGGAGGAGAAAAGACACTCACTTCATGGTCTCTAGAGTTCTGATTTGTAAACATATCTAGAACAGGCTGTACGTCGGACACTTCATGAGGAAATAAACGAAGAAATGTTTTATATCCTCGAACCTAGCAAATTAAAAAGACACTGAATTATTATATAATTAGAAAACACAGAAAGTAGCAAAATTACCTTTTCCCTCTATCATCAAAGATCACCACCTATCCCACCGAATGATCAGAAAATTATGCCGTATTAGAGTGATACAACTTGTTAAGAATAAGCAGGAAAGCTATCTTTGCTTCTTACATCATTTCATAAGTTCTGTCCCACCTTAACACATATAATATGTGCTTCATCAGAAACACAGATATGTTACAAACAAATTAGTTTTCCTTCTACCTTGTTTATACAATTGCCCTCTGACAGTCAGGAGGGAATAAGTCCTCAAAAACCTCAAAGGTCCCCAAATTCATTACGGCTTCCGTAAAAGCAATGGTACTGCACCTTCAGGAGAGATCCTGCACTCGACCAACTGAGCCACAGAGAAGTGTGCACATGGGCAGCCCACCCATGGGGCCCTCTCACTGGCCAAGGACCTCTCTTCACACAGCAGGCACTACTATAGTGCACAGCCCCACAAAACCCACCGGAGATGGCTCTGAGTCACTCCCATGGTCAAAACTGCAATGGTTAAGTTTGTAGGCCAGCAAAGGGATATCACCAGGGAGTTTCTAAGAATGCAGAATATCAGGCCCCACCCCAGACCTGCTTACAGAATCTGCCTTGTTAACAAGATCCCGAGGAAATTCATCTGCACATTTTCACCAAGCTTTTCCACTTTTTCCTTGCAAGAAACTCTTCTGAATTACTCATCTCTCTCTCCCTCTCCCTCCTTCCTTCCCCTCCCCCACTTCCTTCCTAGCTAGGTGCTACTTGATCTAGTCAAAGGAAGATGCTAAATATCTCAGACATGGTTTCAGCCAAAGGACCCACAGATCACTATCACTAACATCTGATCCCTAACATATGGTAAAAAGAGAAAGAATGAAACCCACAAATTATGTGTGAAAACGATCTTTCCTGAAAAATAGCATTTGGAAAGTAATTTCTGGACCGAGTATTTAAGAAAGTATTCTGTCAACTATAAAGTGCTATGTAAATGTTACCTTGGTGATGATGTAAAGAAATTTAAAAGCCAGATGTATGAGGTCAACTGAAGATGTCTTATCTTGCACTATATCCAACAACAAGTTCATCATCCATTCTAGGAAAAAACATATGCAAAACATTTACTACAAAATTAAACATTAATATGATATCAAAACAAAATGCCAAAAAAAAAGACTTTATTTATAAATGTAAGAGTGATTCAGGGGCACCTGGGTGGCTCAGTCGTTAAGCATCTGCCTTCAGTTCAGGTCACGATCCCAGGGTCCTGGGATCGAGCCCTGCATCGGGCTCCTTGCTCGGCAGGGAGCCTGCTTCTCCCTCTCCCACTACCCCCTGCTTGTGTTCCCTCTCTAGCTGTCTCGCTATCAAATAAATAAAATCTTTAAAAAAAAAA